TATTTAAGGGGGCTGAGGAGTGGTGTTAGGGGGATAAATGGGCTTGATTTCATAATAATTAAAGAATTAAAAAATGTCAACATTTTAATGCCCAGAGGTGYCGCAAGGGGTTGACAAGCATTTCTCAAAACATTATTATTTTTTGTATAATCTTGTGTGGAGCCATCACATTTAGGTCAATAGGATAAAAGTCAMAATTCTTTTAGTGCTTATACCCAACCCAACACGTGCTAGCTCTTTACACCTTCACATCATTGAAGGAGAATCGACATTTGGAAATCGAGCATGCGCGATTCAAGGTAACATAGTGAAGGAGGTGTATACTCACTATGAGACTTGCTCGTTGGTTTAGGTTAACTATTGTTTGTGTAATCAGAGTTAAGACTTTTAAGACTACCGATCTAGTTATGATTCAAACTTATTTAAATATGTACTTATTTTACTTTTTAGATTTCTAGGTGAAGATGGTAAGATATCTTCTGCCAAAACTCGAAATCTTCTTCCTTTTGGAGCAGGACGAAGAGTTTGCATCGGAGAGACCGACTCCAAGACAGAGATGTTTTTAATTGCATCTCGATTGCTGCACCAATTTAGACTTGAAAGAGCAGGAGCATTGCCTGAAATGACTGGTGACCTCGGGATTGTGAATTTCCCCAAGCCTTATAAGATACGTGGATTACCAAGGTTGTAAATAAAAGTAAGATAGATCTAGTAAATGGATTTGTTAATAAAAATGAAAAACCTCTTAATAAAARTACTTACATATAGATACTTCTTAGTGGTATTTATTTTTTTTCTGGATTGTTAAAAGCTGCGAGTGAACAGCCAAAATGTTTCCAATTTTGTCACTATTTTTAATTTCTGATCTGCTTTTATGGAAATTTATTYAATGGCGTAGTTAGCAGGGCAGATCTCAAGGAGCATTGCGGTGTCATGTAAGGCAGATCAAGAACTTCGCTGGGCTTTTTGTATGAATATCCTCCATAATAAAGCTCAAAATACAAGAAAATAGAGTGAAAATAGAGCCAAACAAAGTATTTCATACTCGAATCTACCCTGCCAATGACGAAACAAAATAAAAGACTTTATTATTTTTACATGTCATGTGGTGGGAAGATAAATCTTCATTTTTTTTATAGCAKATCATTCAAAATGGCGCCATATTTTAAAACATTTTGTCTGTTTACCCGCAGTCTTTAACAATCCCAAAAAAAACAAACACAACTAAAATGTATCTAAATGTAAGTAGTTTTATTGAGGGTTTTTCATTTTCATTGGCAATGTCTTTTAAACGACCATTCAATAACCTTTGCGACCGTTTCTTATGTTTTACATATGGTCTCTCGCTGAAAACTGCTGAGTCAAAAAAATACGGCAAATTTTCGTATGTGATTAAATTGACCTATTTCATTATGACGTCACATCAAGACATTCAATGGTTTTAACGCTAAGGATTATGGGCACCAGAAGGGATCAGACTGACTGCATTTCAAATAAAATGTACATGAGCAATCATTTTATACATGATATATATCAAAACACGATTCATTGAGGTTCTACTTTAAGATATAACTAGCCTCCTCCACAGGCAACTCTTTTTTCCTTCTTTGGGCTTCCTTTGTAAGGGTCATTTTGGCCGTTAGGGACTAGTCTCGCCCCCATTCTCCCTCTTTTGACTCCTCAAAAAGACAGGAAGCCCGTGCTTCTTAGTGATGCCTGCGGAGGAGGCTAAGATATAACATAAATGGTTTAAGATTTCCACTGTTTTTGAGCATCGTTTTCAGATGTAAACATACTGTGACGTCATAATGAAATAGGTCAATTGTGCAAAGGATCTTATATGCGCATGGGCGTTGGAGTTGGATCCACATTAAAAGTCAGAGAAAGGTGCAGGGTGGTTGGGGTAGTTGAGATTTAGAGATTTTTGATATTATATACACCTGGTTACCGTGCAAAAAAGTATTTTATATTTAGCGATCTGTCATCTTTTTTAGTGCATATTTTTCATATTTTTTCTTAGTATCCTAAATTCCTCAATTTCAGGGTCAACGTTCTTGCAATTTTATAGCGGAAATGCATCGCGACCTCTTTGTTTTGAAGTTTGTCTGGATTTTGTTCTTTCTTTCAATCTGAGGGGCAGAGCTTTTCGAAAACTCGTTCAATCATTGGCTGATTAGTATCAAGCTCCGCCCCCAAGTCGCAGAAAAACCTAAATCCTAACTATTTCCTTTGAACATTGAAGTCGCGATGCAACGGTTTCTGTAATAATAGGTGTATACAANTACCTTATTTGCACTGATCTGCGTATAGTTCCATTTTAAGAGTCATGGCTTTGCCGTTCCAAGTCTTTGGAAGAACTCTAATATACCTCGCTTTGATAGGAGGCTTCAGCTCATGAATGATCTCCCTCAATCCGTCAGAATTACCGTGAAGAACCTTGCCAGACTCATAATCCGTGAACGTTTTTCCGTCTCGACTATACTTCAASGTGTAGCTAGTTACCCAATAATACGATGAGCCACCTTGCGTTCCGATGCCCAGTACCATGGTGAGTTTGCCGAGGTCGACTTGTAACCACTCTCCTTGCCGCGTTCGACTAGCCTGCCAGCCACGACCATCAAAGTTTAATCTGGCATTCGATGGAGGGATCGACGCTGACGAGGCGGTAATACTGGAATCGGGAATGGCTTTGCTTTCCATGCCAAGTGCTTGAAACTTGCACGATGTTTGTGGACGCGATGTCGCTGCCACTGAACACGAAAGTTTAGTTTAGTTAAATGTAACTTTTGCAGCCCTCACCTCAAAAAAGCCTGGATCCGCCCCTAATAAAATCAATAACCGGTACCAGAGTACAGGGACCCTCGCTGTTTGAATAGTGTTAACGTGCAATCGGCAAATGCTCGTCTCATCAAATCAATTCATTAAAAATTCAATTCGTGAATGAATTGTTGGGATTAGAAAAAGAGATCTGTCCTGTTTAGCAAACGACGTTTCGAATGTCTCCCATTCGTATTTTATACATTACATCAAGGCTGCACAAAATAACACATCTGRTTGAAAAGTAGAGTTTAAAATCAAATCCAAAGCTATTACAGAAGATACACCTAATTGAAAAAACGTAGTCGTGTTCGAAAAGGTCACATCATAGAAGCTAAGACCGAAAGGGATTTTGAGTACCTCTAAATTGGGATTACATTTTCATATACGGTGTACACTAAGCAAGTACAGCTAGTAAGATTAACAGCATGATAGTCTTTTATGCTGGACAGCTGTTTGTTATGAAATAAAGCAGTCTTGGTTGTCTTCCCAAGTACCCTTTCGGTCTTAGCTTCTATGATTAGACCTTTTTGGACCCGACAACGTTTCTTCAATTAGGTGTATGTAGAAGAACCAATTGCTTACYTGTTGGGGAAGCTCCTTGAGGCTCGACATCTGAAATGCATTGAAATAGTTGTAGTATATTCAATATSATCTTTTCCAGAGAAACAAGAGAAACTTAGCCTCCACATGTGGGCATACAGGGTGATGGCCGACATGTATATATACTAAAACACGCCTGCATGCGTACTTTAAAAAGTTTTATRTACACAATTGTTTCTGAAATAGCCGGGTAAGTGAAAACAGCAACTACAAATACGGATTTCTGACATAATTTGAAGTGATGTTCTTTTTTAGATAATATATAGAAATCGATTATCGTTCTCTAGTAGAATAAGGTAGGCATATATAATGATGTCTCGTTTCTGTGAATTATCTACTCACAYCCACACTTGAAGCAAGTAAGTTGACAGAATTTGCCAAGATCTCCAGCGCACTGGTTTTGAGCTTTGAGAAATCGGCAGCAATCAGTGGAGATGGAATCATTGCAACCTGCGAAACAATTAGAATCGAGTAGTTAAAATGTTCTGCTGTTTGGTTCAATTATCAAGATTATGGGATTATGAGTGATATGCAACATTTAACAAAATTCTGTATTTTTTTAACGAAGTCAATCCCCATTCACCTTTTGAATAAACTTTATTAGGCTATTATTTTAGATTTAAAGATTTTTCTTGGAAAACCAACAAGAACCTTATCAAGGGACTGCGCAATATTTATCAGGACCTAAGGACTTTTAAGAATCCAGAGGGGGGGGGGAGGGGCGCAAAATCCAATTTTATGTGTGGGGCAACGTCTAAAATTAACAAGAACTTTAATAGACCTCTGCAGCTTTTACGTCATGTACCGTATACGCAATGCATTGTAGGACATGTTTGGGACAAAACATGGCGGATTTCTTTTGTTTTCTCTTGAATTTATTTCGTTTGCAAGGGGGGTGGTGATTAACTTTTCCTGATAAATATTGCGTTGTCCCTAAGACAGTTTCAATGCAAGAAAGAACACTGCTTTGCTTGCCTATGACCTATAAGCTAAAAGGTATGAAAAGGTATGAAAACAACTTACCAACTGTCCCAAGGCAAAGAAGTTCCAATTTTTCGTACATATCCAAATATCCATTATTTTTCAAGAATTTGCAGCTTTCATGACTCAAAATATCTTTTACTGGTTGGTATTCATATTTCAAAAATAGAAAAAAAGCACAACATAAGTCTACAAGTAATTTCCATAATCAAGGAACAATCTGACAATGAGAAGTTATGTTTAAGCCCGCGATACGTCTAGAAGAAAGGACAGGAGCATATTGACTTTGGTTGAACGACAACCGCTTAACACCAAAGGTTTAACCGCCATACTTTCATTCACAAATGATTAACTTAAATAAAATATTTAAAAAAAATGCTTGCAGGCTAAACATGGGAATCTATTTGCACAGGCGTTTCAAACGTGTAAGGTAAGKYGCGTGTAAGCTTGAAGGRGCCTTATCGCAAATAATAAAGATTTACACAKCAAAAAGAAGGAAAAACCATTCATTCAATSYTATTTTTCTTTTTTCTTCCTCTCTTTTCGTTCATTAATTTTATGTTAAGATAGAAAKGTTATTTCATACATTGGTTTTTGAATATTAAGAAAAACAACTACCGGTATTTTATTTATTTTTTTTAATGGATATTGTATTGATATTTCAGTCGCATAGGTTATACATGGCGTCGATCAGCTAGAGTCTTTTAGGTTTGTATCCTTCAATCATGCAYATATGCAATCAAGTCAGATAAGTGGAACTAATGGAATTTCTCACAGATGAAAAACTGAGAAATGATAATTCTTAGAATAAGGTAAGCTCTATGCATGCATTATACCTTCATTACTGCGCCTCACAAGGCTCGCCTCAGCAACCACCACGAACAGAATCGCAAGCACTATCATCACCTTCATAGCTGAAGAAGTATTCTACAAAGCATGAAAAGAATAGAAGTAAAAAAAATTATGTTAAAAAGTTACTTGCATTCCTTAATTGTACATAAATCTGATTCATAATCGTTATTTCTACATGGTCTCAATAGCTTGAGGGGATTTGGTGACGATTTTTTCTGCTTTTCTGCAATAAAAAGAAACATTGTCTTTCATCTTTAGGAMGAAATTGTCTCTGGACCGCAGGAGAAAGCTACCACTGTTTCACTATGCACACGGGTAGTCCTTGTTCMTCGACGTCACAAAACTAAAGMCGCTCCCAMTTTGTTGAATGGTGTTTTGGGTTTTACCACAACCGCCTGTCACCTTAGTGCCTTTACAGCTTGCACATGCCATGTTAATTTTAATAAAGAATTAAAAATTRCAAAAGAAATTGAAGCAATATTAACGAAACAAATCTACCAACTGAACCACACTCAGAGGATTGCTACAGAACTACAGCCGATTCAAATGCTGTTTTGTAGTAGTGAAATATTTTATAGATATAAGTTCCACTCGTATACATTCCTACAATATATTGCAAGMAAAAAATATGAATGAATAGTAGAACAAAAATAACACGAAGAAACATTGACACCATTCATTAAAAAGACAGGACAACATGAATATTAAAAAAAAGGAATAACAAAACGAGTTACCTTTGATGAGTTTTGGAGATGTGTAAACTAAACTCCAGAGAAAGTTGGACTGTCTTTTATGGAGCTACGCTGTTTGTCTGATTGGTTGAATTAGATATGTTCTAGARTTTCTTTGTACGCAGGCATAATTACATATACAAAATTAGATATGTTCTTATGTTGACCACGAGGTTACATTCCCATTCCATGCCCCGCACGCCATGGAGACACAACTGAAGGCCGCATGGCCATACACATCAGTCATAAGATAATTCTTTTAGAATTATTTGTTTTATCAGATAACAAAAATATCTGCCGCCAAACGTGCGTATATAATCGTATATAGCCGTTCGCATATATCCGATAATTAACCGGGGTATCACAATGCATGACGGGAAGTTATCAAATACTAAAACACTGAATGAATCTCCTTTAACTTTATCCTGATAGGAGCGTCCGCACTTATACACACTCTGGAAACACATCTTATATAGAATAGTCCTTTTGTATGAAACGGTCACGTGGTACAAAATCCGCCATACTGGATGGCAATATACCCATTGGGGATGTTCACAACAAAGAAAAGTCAAGCTTGACGGCCTGCATTYCTTTTTTATTCATCCAGTATGGCGGATTTAGTGGCATGTGACTATGTCATACAAAATRCCTATTCTGAGAAATTGACACTCTCGAGAGCAATAAGAGCATGTACAGAAAGCTTGGTAGACACTGAGGAGATAACAATGGCTTACGATGGACACGTGTAGACGCTTACAGTAACCATATAAACGCATTTAAGAACAAAAGTGGTAACAGAGTTAACAGAGACCAAACACTTAAAATACGATATATTAGTATAAAATACTAGTGGAGTATGACTTTCTTTACGAAATATTGTACTTTGTACTTTATAATTTTACTTGTGAAACATTACAAGCGTGTCAAACGATGTCGAAGGTAATTTATGTAAATGTAATTAAAGCTGTAAGTCCGATATGTTTTTACTTAAACAATTAGACCTCTTGGTCTCGTGGAATACGAACTAGCCTGTTTGGAATTTTGCTTCACGAGCTATCAGCTCGTAGTCTACTGATCTGCTCCTTGCATTTAAATGTATATCAAACATGTTCTTTTCAAAAAAGAAAAACGTTGCATCACGATTTCAGAGTTCAATTGTTTGCAATTTGTTATTTTTCTTTGTCCTGGAGAATCGCTTGGATTCTGACATGCCAAAACGTGTTTACGCCCATTCTGCCCTCTGCTTCTTCCCTTCCCCTATTATTAATATCTTTGTACGTGGGTTAAAAAGGGACCACCTCGACGATATAGCGGCCATTTTGACAGGAACTGGCAGATTCAGAAGGATGTTTCACGTAGATATCGCGTTACTGTCAGAAGACATGAAGCGGGCCCCCTCAAAACAAGGGCGCTAGAACTGAAATTATGACTTATAAGATCCAAAAATTGCTTAATTTATCCAACATAAGATAGTCGATA